TCCCTCTTCTCTCTCTCTCTCTCTCCTTTTTTAGGAGATTGACTCTATTAAGGATTATTGGGAGAGAATATTGTCCATTCAGTCACCGTCACTTATACAATGGCTTCAAAAAACCGACTCCCCTCTCTCCTGCTCTCACAGCTGCTCTGTCCTAGCTACAATAGGCAATATTCCAATGGGCCGTCTTTCAGTGGTAATAAGTTATTATCTGTTATTTTTATAGTAATTTCAATTATTCTTAAGGAGACAAAGACACACATACTACCTTTACTTCTAAACCTCAGCAAGGACTCTAACCCATCTATCAAGGTATGTACATGTAGTACATTTTTCACATGTTACTATTTATAGACTACGCGTTACTATTAATAGATTATTATTCCTTCTTCCTAGTCTAGTGCCATTAGGACCCTTGGTATATTCAGCCAGTATTCAAGTCAATGTTTTACTGATACCTTCATACTTGACGCTTGTGTTGGTATCACTAATGGACTTGATTTAAAACAGGTGGTTGCCGTTCGGATACAAGCCAGCTGGTCAGTTGGGAACATGACAGATTCCTTGATTCATGACGAAGGATGGAAAGATAAGGTTCCTTTGCTCTACGAGTCTGTGGTTGTCGCAATAGAAGGCACTGAGGAGGTTTGTATTTGAGAAATTATTAAAATTCATGTTTTTTAGGTGAAAGTAAATGCTTTACTTGCATTGTACAAGTCAGTGCTTGTCGCAATGGAAGACATTGAGAAGGTCGGTATTTGAGAAATTATTAAAATTAATGTTTTTTTAGGTGAAAGTAAATGCTTTTCGTGCTGCTGGTAATCTCCTTCATGTCCTCACTGATGAAAGTATTAATTATTATTATATTAATTATTATTATATTTATTATTATTTATAGTATACATGTATTTAAAGTGTGAACATGGTGTGATAGAAAAGATTTGCTCTAAATTGGCTAAATATATTAATGTTGGTATAATGAAAGGCAGAGTGGAATGCCTGCTATGCTTGCTATAATGCTTTCACTAATCCTTCCTTTCTAAAGAACTGCTCTCAGCCAATGGCTAGTAATCTCCATTAATAGTATATCTTCATTTAAAAGCTTATCTCTTTAGCTAGGAATGATTGAGTCTCTCTGTTCCGCTGTAGTCACTTGCAAGAATTTTAAAGTAATTGCATGATATTTTAGTACTAAATGCATGTACATTGTATTTTGTTCCTGTAGGTGCGTACAAATGCTGCTTTGGCTCTTGGTGGTCCTTTTTCT